TTTTTTATAAAATGTATTTCAAATGATAAGAATAGGTACTCAAGGGAAGCATTGGGACTCACATGAACGGAGGTGCTGAGCTGGGACAGGGGACATCGGAGGATACAAAGCCTGGCGGTCTAGTGGTAGTAGCTGTAGGTGTCTTCTGTTCTCTTTTTAGGGTCTCGGCAGCCGTAGCGGCTGTGATGATGGAGGGGTCGTCGGGGAAAATGTCTTCGATGCCCTTATTCACAACGGTGTTGGTGAAGTCTAGTTGAACCACGCACATGTTCAACTCAGCATCGTAGCGAATAACTCGACCTCGACGAAAGCATTCAGAAAATCGAACCAACACAATCGCCTTCTCGGCCAGCCATGGAACCCCTGAAGGTGTAGCCGGTGCTGAAACGGTTTTTGCCGAAATTGGCTCAGTCTCGTCCTTTCCTGCTCGACTGTCGCCCTCTCTTTGCGGCGATTTTGCTGCTCCCGCTGCTGGTTCCGCTGATGCTGCTGCCGCTGCTAGTGGTGGTGGCAATGATGAGGGAGATGGTGATGAAGGGTGTAGTTGTTGCTGCTGTTGCTGTTGCTGGCCCTCTTCTTGCTGCTCCTCTTCAGATTCTGTCTGATGCTGCTCCTTCTCCGCCTTCTTAATGCCCTCTGCAGCCACGGCTCAGGCCGACAATCGCCACCTTTCGGTGCGTGCTTTGCAACTTGGTGATTCGGGTGGGATTCTCGGAGAACGTATTTTGTGTTTATCGATCGCTCTAGATCCGTTCGAACCGTAAAGGACTTGCTCTGGCAAATAACTCAGCGCTCCCCCTCCACCAGAGGTGAACCCAGAGCCAAGGGTGAGGTTTCCACGCCGACCTATTACTCAATGAGAAGGATGTCGAGAAGGTAGATTGACTCGTAGAAGGCAGCATAAGAAATATCTTCAATAGACGGTTTCGATACTAAATTTGCCGACGACCAATCTCAATGCATATAGCTAATAAACGTGTAAATGCTACTATAGACGGAAATCCGCGCTCACACAGGCTCCCGCGTGCTACTATATGCTAAATATGCGTGCACGAATGCCTATGAGCGGTCTAGGTCATATATTCCATAAAACAGGTTTTTTGGGTAACGCGCCTGCCGATTGGTCAGTGGACGGGCCAATCGGAGTAT